TGTAGCCATCGTCTTCGGTGGAGCCCCCTAGTAGGGCCACGAAGCGTTGTACTGTGTGGGGGAGACGCATGCGGACTACGCCACTGGAACATTTGGTGGAGCCCCCTTGTAGGGCCACGAAGCGCTGTACTGTGTGGGGGAGACGCATGCGGACTGCACAATTGAGACCTTCGGTGGAGCTCCCTATGGGGCCACGAAGCGCTGCACTGGTGGGGGAGACGCATGCGGGCTGCGCCTCTGGGACCTTCGTCGGAACTCCCTGTGGGGCCACGACGCGCTGTACTCGGTGGGTGAGACGCATGCGGGCTGCGCAATTGAGACCTTCGGTGGAGCTCTCTATGGGGCCACGAAGCGCTGTACTGGGTGTGGCGGACGCATGCGGGCACCCCCACTGGGGCCTTTGGTGGAGGTCCATAAAACCCTCTCGGGCCGTCCTGTGCGCCTCCGGCGCCGTCTTGGGGCCCTCTTGGGCCGTTTTGGGGCCGTTTTCAAAGCCTCTGGGGCTGTCTTGCAACGGAAAATATGACCTCTGGGGCCGTTGTGGAGCGTCGGAAAATTTAAAAGGCGAGAACATGGAAATCCTTCAAAAACCTTTGGATAAGCAACAAGTTGTGACTCCCGGGGCTCATTTGGAGGCATCTTGGAAGTTTCTGGGGGCGTCTTGGAGGCCTCTTGGATAGTCAAGGGCTAACTCTGGCCGCCTTGGCCATCTTGGCCGCCATTGGTCGTTCCCGCGGTCTGGAAGCGCCATGTTTGGCGATCCGCAGGCCGTATCCGGGCGATCTTACGGCGCCCCGGGCGCCCCAGCAGAACCCCCGGAACACCCCAGTCCCCCAATGGGGACACAGGTCACGGACGGGAAACCGTAGGTTTTCGCTCGAAGAGGTTCCCAGGAGGGCTCCAGGGTCCAGCAAAAGGCACCAAGAGGCCCCCAGGAGGCCCAGAAGACGCTCCAAGACAAATTCAAAGAAACGTCCCAAAAAGGTCTAAACGCACTGCAAACTCGCTCTGCGGATGAAGCCGGGAGGCGCGGTACCGGCCAGATGTCAGGGGATATGTAGGACCCCCGAGTAGGAGTTCCACTTTGATGAAACACAATTTTTGTAATTCCCTCTCCTTTTTCCCAAATCCTCGATCTTTGAGGGCTGGAAGCGGGAAAACGTGAGAAGGCGAAAAACATAGGAAAAACCATTGGAAATCAACGATGTTACCCTCTTTGGGCTCTCTCGGGACGGCTCTCGCAGCTCTCTTGGGTTGTTCTTGGAGCCTCGTCGGGGTCTGTTTGGGGCCTCTCAAGGATCGGGGGTGTGCTGGGGGCCTCTGGGGGGTCCCGGAGGCCTCTCGGAGGTCTCTGGAAGCCTCCTGCTCCCGCTCTTGGGCCCATCTTGGGCCTGTTCTGGGGTGGTCTGGGGCTGTGCTGGGCGCCTCTTCGGGAGTGTTGGAGCCTTCTTGGCCCGTCTTGGGGCCGTCCTGAAGGTATCTTGGGTGGTCTTGGGGCGGTCTTGGGAAGCTCTTCGGCGCTCTTGGACCGTTGAAGCTCGAAAACGCGAGAAGTCAAAAACATTGAAAAGACAATTGAACATATACGACTTTGGCCTCTTCGGGCCGTACCGTGATACCTATCAGACTTCTTGGGGTCTCTTGGAGGCCACCTGGGAGCCTCGAGAGACGTCGGAAGGCTGACTTGGGCTGCTCGGGAGCGTCTTGGGCCATCCTTTCGCATTCTGGGGGCTCCTGGGGGGTGTCTTGGGCCCTCCTGGAGCGCTGTGGAGGCTGCCCGGAAAGGCTGGGGGAGCGGTGTCGGGAGCGTCCCCGAGATGTGGCCATATCTTTTCAGCGCGTTCCAGGAGCATCTTCCCGGAACGCGCTCGTGGCAGGGCACCCACGTCCGAGGACGTTGGCATGGGAAACCGCAGCGCGTGATCATTCCAGCGCGTTCCGGCGAAGACCGTCCGGAACGCGCTTGGGCAAGCGCTGGGTTTGGGGAACCGTTCAGGCAGTTTGGGATGATCGGGGCAAGAGGCGGAAGCCATCCTCATAAGACATGCAGTCTGCCTGGAGCCGTCTTGCAGAAAACACAAGAAAAATGAGACCCTGCAGTCGTTCCTGGAGCCGTCTTGGAGCCCTCTTGGGCTGCCCTGGAGCATGTTGGAGCCCTCTGCGGAATGGTCTTGGAGCCCGCGCCGAGGATCTGGAAAATGTCCGGGACCATCGCGGCGGCCTCCGAGGCCCGGGACGCCGAAACCCAATAAAAACAAAGGGGAAATGAGCCCCGGTACTCCCATGGAGTGTCGGGCAGCTGTTTTCGGGCCCCTGGGCTAGAAACATCGCGCGCGCTTCGCGCGCGCTCAGGTTCTAGCCCAGGCCGGGGGGGCGCTGGACGATCTTGGACAACGCTATCAAGCACAGGCGCGCGACGGCATCTGAGGAGCTTCTGGGGTGTTCCGCATGCTTCGTCAACTGGCTGTTGGAGGCACCTCTTGGGTGCTTCTTGGGGGGGCGTCTGAGGGTCCCTTGGGGGCATCGGTTCTGCAATCTGAAGCCGTCAGTGGCCGTCTTGGCTGCGTGGAGGCCCGACTTGAGGCCACCTGCGGCCAGATTGAGACAATCCGGAAGCCTCCCGGGGGCCTGCTGGAAGCAGTTTCGGCGCATCGAGGGCTCTCTTGGGCTATTTTAAAACCTCTTGGACGTCTCCTAGGGGCCTTTTAGGCCCTCGGGAAGCTTTTGGGGTCCTCGTCGGACCACTTGGGGGCCTCTTGCGGCCTCCTGTGGGCCTTTTGGGGGGAACGCTCTGCTGTTGGGTCGCGTTCCCCTTCTTGGGCCTCTCTTGGGGCTCTTGGGGCCCTCTCGGGCCGTCTTGGGCGCCTCAAGCACCGTCTTGGGGCCCTCGCGGGCAGTCTTGGGGGTCTCTTGGAGACCTCTTCCTCTATATTGGAGCGGTATTGGAAGCCTCTTGGGCCGTCTTGGAGCATCGGGATGCCAAAAGGCAGAAAAAAAACATGAAAACCCGTCAAAGCCCAATCTTAACACGATGAGTTGTGCCTCTTGGGGCCATCTTGGGAGATTTCTTGGAACCTCGTCGGCCCTCTTAGGAATTTCTTGGGGGCCTCTTGGATCCGATTGGGGGCCTCTTGGGACTTCCCGAGAACCTCACGGGGTAGAAAGCTCGGATTCTCGGTTCGTGTTTCCCTTCTTGGGCCTCTCTTGGAGCCGTCTTGGGGCCCTCTCGGGTCGTCTTGGGCGCCTCAGGCACCGCCTTGGGGCCCTCGTGGGCCGCCCAGGGCCCTCTTGGAAGCCTCTTCGGCTATCTTGGAGCTGTCTTGGAGGCCTCTTCCTTCTCCTCGTCCCCCTCCTCCTCCTCCCACTCCAGCTCTCTCTCCTCCTGATCTTCCTCCTCCTCCTGCAGCGTGTTCTGGAAGGCTCTCGCCGGAACATGCTGTGCACAAGTGCTGTCACTGCCCCCGCCACCGTGCCCTGGGTGGTGGGTCAGAGGCCTCATGGGTGTTAGTTTGGATCTCGTGGTTGGCCTGTCGGGGACGTCGTGAAGGCAGTTTCGCAGCTTCTCGGTAGCCGTTTTGGGACCGTTGTGGGGCCTCCTCGGGGCTGTTTTGTGGCCTCTTCAGGCCTCGTTCGGGCCTCCTGGGTGCCTCTTGGAGGCCTCCTGGGGCCTCTTGGGGGCTCCTTAGGTCCTCCTGGGGCACTCTTCAAGCGGGAGGGTCGAATTTTGGAGTCGTGGTCCCCCTCTTGGGTGCATCTTGGGGTCGTCTTGGGGCTCTGTGGGGCTGTCTTGGGCGACTCCGGGGCCGTCCTGGGGCCCTCTTGGACCGTCTTGGGGCGCTCTTGGGAGCCTATTGAGCCGTCGTGGAAAGTCGGACAGCCGAAAAAGCTGGAAGGTCAAAATCGTTCGAAAACCTTCGTAAAATTGACGATCTCGGCCTCTTGAAGCGCTCTGGAGAGGCGTCTTGAAGCGTCGTGGAGTGCCTTGGGGGGCCTCTCGGGCCGTCTTGGGCCTTTCTTGGGCGTCCTGGAGCGGTCTTTCGGCGACTCGGGGCCCGCTTGGGCCGTCTTGGGAGCCTTTGGAGGCCCTCCTGGATTTTTTTGGACCTCCCCGGCCGCCCCGTCCTCCCATGGGGGGTCGGAGGCGGCGGCCTCCGAGGCTCAGGACGCCCGAAAATTGACAAAAACCGCCGTCGTGATTTTTCCAAGACGTCGGAGGTCCAGGTCGTGCTTCCCGCCTCCCCAGACCTCCGACGTCGTAATTTTTGCGACCTCGGGCCCAGGAATCGATTGGGAAAACGCACATGGGAAGGCAAGAAATGATGGACCCATCATTTCGTACCTGTGCCTTGATCAGTGGGACGGGCTTCGCACCGCCGCACATCACAAGACACGCTCGAGCGGATCCAGCCATGGCGACGTCGGGGACTGCAGAAGGTCGCAAGGACACGGAATCTGAAAGGAAGAGAGAGAAAGATAGAGAGAAAGAGAGGCAGAGAGAGACAGACAGACAGAGAGCGAAGGAAAGAGAGAGAGAGATGGAGAGAGAGATAGAGAGAGGAAAAAAAAAAAAAAAAAAAAAAAAAAAAAAGAGAGAGAGAGAGAGAGAGGCAGAGAGAGGCAATGGAGAGGAGGCGAGCTTGAGTCAACGAAAGTCGCAGGGAAGGGGGCAGTGAAGAATCTTTTTGGACCACTTCAATGGCTATGGAACGTGCCATGCAACACACTGGCAGCAAATAGGGGCAACAGTGCTGGGTCCCACTTGGTGGGACCCAAGACCTTGCAGCAGATTGTGTTACATCTGCATTGTCTGCATTGGGCTCTCGGGAGGTCCATTTCTGTTCACGCCTCCCGAGGGGTGTGCTGCAGGCGAGCGGCCGGCACACTCCCGAGACAGAACCGAGCCAGGCCCAAGCCATTCGAAGTAGATCTCACGCTCCTAGGGCCAAAGGGTGCTGACCCTCCCGGGGCTTGAAGCCCATCAGTGCGCTGAATCGTTGAACCTTGTCCCGATTCAAAAACTTAGTGAGAAGATCTGCTATCATGTCGTCGGTGTGATTCTTCCTCAGAGACACCTTGAAACGATCCATCGCTTCCTGCGCCCAGAGCCACACAGTGTCGATGTGCTTGGTCTTACCAAGCCCGCGTCGCGAGACCATGCCTATGGCAGCGGTCGCGTCCACGTTCACACTGAGATTATACATAAGATTCCAATCTAAAGCTAACGATCGCAAGCCGCACAACTCACTCATGAGCGTAACTAGGCTATAGTACTCAGCTTCACCACTACTCAACGCTATGACTGACTGGCCACGGCACCAATGATGCAAGCAATGCAGACCGGCCATGATCGCGCCTCCTGACGTGCTCTTCCGTGTCCTGAGGCAGCCTGCGTGGTCTGCATCACACCAGCCGTCTAACCATGTGGCCGCTTCCTGGTTCTTGAAGTACTGCACAAGCCTAGGGCTACCTCGAAGATAGCGCGCAGCATGCTTCAGCAGAGCCACGTGGCGCTCGCAAGGGGCCTGCATCCCCTTGGCCATCTCGCGAACAGCTACACCTAGGTCAGGACGGTCCTGCGCGACGTACGCCAATCTCATGCATACAGACCGGTACCAAGTGCGCTCCTGCTCTGGGATGGCGATGTCCTCTTCCTCCACGGCGTCGGGCCGCTCACGGACCCCAGGCGTGGTGAGTTTGGTGTTAGCTCCACCTGAAGCCAACCCCAATTCGCGAATCACGATGTCTACGTGTCGTGGGTCGCACTCCCACTCAATGCCCTCTGTCGTCCAAGTTAGGAGACGGTTCAAAGTGCGAATGCTCTGCACCGTGTCCGGCTCGCCGGGCGGGCCGAAGATGCCCTCCACCTTCACGGTCCACTCCTTGTTCAGCTCCTTGAACAGCCAGTCGACGTCGATCCCGGCGGCCAGGCTCACGAAGTTGTCACCGTGGAGCGTCGCCCTGATGTCTCTGACCGGGTGCCAGAAGATGCACGGGGAGCTCCGGCCCTGACGAAAGCCTAGGGCCCTCATCTCGGTAGCCACCAGCTTCTCCCACAGGGACGCGGCATCCCGCATCCCATACATGGAACGAAGCAGCTTGCCCACCATGTCTCCCGTGATCCCGCGCTTCCGCTTGTACTCCTCAGGGAGCTCCACGAAGAGCAACCGCTCGGCCATGGCCCAGAAGTGCGCCTTCTTGACGTCCAGGAACTGCAACACGTACTGCCCCTTCTTGGCGTACACCACCCCCTTCCTGGGCAGCACTGTGGTGACCGCGATGCTGAGGAGCATCTTTAACGATGCCAGTGGGGGCATTGCGGCAAAGTACTGCTCAACAGAGCCCTTGTGGCGCATCTCCTTCCCGACGATCCTGCTCCTCACCTGGTAGTCGACCTCGTCGCCCTTGTTCACGTCGACCCATCGCGTGCCGATCACCTTATGACCGGCTGGTCTGGGCACCACCTCCCAGAGGCCGATGTCGTCGATGAACTCGATCTCCTCCATCCTCGCCTCCTGGGTCAGATCCTGGGGCAGCACCTTGCCCGAGAGGTCGTCCCGGTAGCACAGGTCCTCGGGCCCAATGTAGTTGGTACCGGGCATTCGTCTCCAGACTCGCGGATCTCCATGATCACGCGCTCCCTCTGGACCTCGACCAGGGCGCCGATGGCGCGCTCGACCTCGTCGTCGTCGCCGCCTCCGTCCATGAGCCGAGTCATGAACCCGATGGTGTCCTGCATGGCGTCGCCCTCCTCTGGGGCGGCTCGTTTAGCTCTGGATCCCTGCTCGTCCACCTCCATCTGGGGGTGCTGACCCGAAGCTGGGGCCGCGCCTCCATCCACCTGCATCTCCTGGGGTACCGGGGACGGCCGGCTCGAAGACGAAGCCGCGCCCCCTGCAGCCGCTCCAGGTGCAGGTATCCTGGGTCGCCTGCCCGTGCCGCTCTCTACAGGCGGGTCCGCGGCAGGCCTCTTCTCGACTCGACGCGCTCTCGCAGCCATCAGCCGAGAATTGCGATTGGGATCAGCCGCGACTGCAGCCTCGATCCGCTCTCTGCACTCCGGCGTGCGCAACAACCCCGACCTGGGGTGGCCCATGTGCGTGGCCAGGCATGCCGGACAACCCTCGGTCTTTCCGTACTCCTCCAAGTCCGCGACCGTGATGTAGTAGCGCCTCTGCTGCCTGACCTGCTCGGCCGCCTCCGCGGGGACAGGAGGTACCTCGGGGCACTCGGGTTCGAGCTCTGCCGCGCCGGGGAGCTCGCGCACCTCCTCGCCCTCTGGGCTGTCCGGGATGGGCTTCCACGGGAGGCCCTTTAGCTTGCTCAGCGCCTCAGAATCGTAGCGCTGGTCCTCGGGCAGCCGCCGCACGGACTGCACGACGTGAACGCCCCTCTCGGTGCCGACGATCTTCTCCGTCGACTCCACCTTGACACCCAAGAAGAGACCTCTCTCCCATCTCGCCTCCAACTTGTGGCGCGTCCTCCTCCTGAACTCCACGCTCTCGCCGAACGCAGGGAGTGCCACCTGCCACTCCTTACCCTTCACCCGCTGGAACGGCGTCATGCCGTCGTCACCGCGGTTGAAGATGTAGAACAGGTTCGAGGCGTGCTCGATGAGCCACGCTATGATTGGACTCTTCGGGTCCAGCTTCAAACGAGCATACTGCTCAACATGCTCCTTCAAAGTCCGCGCGAGCCCGTGTATGCTCTGGACCGCGCGCTCGGCCTCGCCATTGCTGGCCTTCTCGCCCCTCGGGGCCATCTCGATGACGATCTCGCCTGCCCACGTCTCCTTCAGCTTTTGGATCACTGCCTTGATGGAGCTCTCCTGGTCGCTCTTGGCGTTTACCTTCTTGTACCCCAGCTTGTTCAAGTCGTTCGCCAGAACGCGAACCGGGTACAGGTTCATCTTCCCGTCCTTCTCCAGGCCCTTATGCGGCACTGGATGTGCGAAGGGGCACTTTGCCTTGCGATCGTATGCCACGATCACCGGCAGGTCCTTTCCAGCCACTGCCTCAAAAGGCGCTTCTCCAGGCACTCCGAAGAAGCCGTAGTCGGCGCTGAAGGTCGAGTACACCTCGCCGCTCTTGTCGTGCCTGTAATGCGGGCAACTCTTGGCTCGTCCCCGCACGCACGCTGTGCACCAGCTCCTGAAGGGGAGATGAGACACCTCGTGGTCCTCGATCATCTTCTTCGTTGGCCTCGGCGGCGCTGTCATCGCCACCGAAGCCGCCCCTTCGCCTCCTGCCAACCCAGCTGCACTCTCCATCCCGGGAGCCCGCGTAGCAACCTCCCCCGTGCTGGGGGCTGCCGCCGGAGATTCCTCCTCGATGATGGGGTACACGCCTCGGGCCGGACTTACGGCTAAGCCTGCCGGGTGAAACCTCCCAGCTGGCCCTTGTCAGCCTTCTTAATCCACGCTGGTAGGACGTAGATGCCGTCCTTCTCGTAAATCTTCATGGTTTCCCCAGTCCGGTAGTTAAAGATCCCGCTACCTCCATTCTCTTCGGCATCAAACCACACGCAACTTCCGCTCTTCACCATCTTGCGCACTGAGCTCAAGGGGCGGTGGATGTCTCCCACCTCCCAGCTAGTGCGCATGTCCCCGCCGTTCATGAAGCCACAGATGAGGTCCTTCTCGCCGTCCTTGTGGACCTCGTGCTTGCTGGCGGTCTTGTACACCCGAGGCGAAACGCCAGTCTTGAGAGGGTGATCCATGGCAACATGCCGCGGCAGCATCGACGTAGACGCGCCGGAGTCGATGGCGATGTCGATGCGCTCCCTGCCTTCCTGCTGCCATTTACGCCAGGGCTCTGGGGCGGCGTCCGCCCAGCCTCTGGAGCCTCCCAGCGCGTTGATCTCTCCTCCTGCCGGGCGACTCCGGCTCCAGTCTGGAGCCGAGTCAGCCGGGCGACCGCGGCTCGATTGCGAAGCCTTGGCTGCCCTCCTCGACGCCCGACCCGAGACCACCCAAGGAGCATCCAGAACGGCATCCTGGCAGACTCGGCTCGATGACGAAGCCGTGCCGCCATGCCTGGATGGCAGAAACTCCTCTTTAGGCCTCGCCTGTCTCTTGGGCGCAGTGCCTGGATATTTGGCCAGCTCCTCTCGGCTGCGGCGCTCCTGCCGGGCCGTGCGCTGAGCCTGGATCCAGACGCCCCAGTCGAGACCTGATGCCTTCCTCTCTCTATCCTCCTTCTCTTTCTTCAGCCTCTTCCTCCTCTCTTTCTGCGCCGGCGTCTTCCGCTTGACGCTGGCAGGCTTCTCCCAGCTCCTTGCTTTGCGACCGGCAGCCCCGCCGTCGCGGGTCCTCATCTCCTCATGCCTTTCCTCTCTGCTCATCTCCTCATCCTTCTGATCCTCCTTATGTTCCTTCTCCTGCTCACTCTTCTTCTCGCCAGCGACAGCGGCAAGATGCTTCTCCAACCTCTGCCTGCTGTATTCTTTCCTCTTGGCGAGCTTCCTGGAACGACCAGCGGCCAGGTCGTCGTAGTACCTGTCGGAATGCTGATTGTCCTTCCTCTCCTCTGTCTTCTCCTCTTCTTTCCTCGGCACTCTACTCTCCTTATTTTCCTCTTGCTCCTCATCCTTCTCCTCTTTGCTATGCTTCTTCTCCTCCTCAATCCTCCTCGTGCTGACCTTTCCTCCTCTGTCCTTTCTGGCCGAGCCCGGGGCCATTGCTGTCTTTTCCTTGTCCAGCTTCCTGTCGGCGATCCTGACTCTGGCGCACGGCGGCGGCGTCGGAGACGCACTCCGGCTCGAAGAGTGCGGCGTTGACGAATAGCTCGCCTCATCCTCCGGCTCGCTCTGGCTGTCGGGGCTCGAATGCGAAGCCCCGTCCGCCTCGGGAGGTGCACTCTCGTCGGACCCTGGCTCGCTCTCGGAGACCCCCACCACCATGAACAGCGATGCCATCTCGCCCGGGATCTGCTGCTGCGCCTGCTCCTGCGGGTAGCCCCCGGGAGCGTCCGACAGCTCGCGCGCACCTCCGCGGCCTTTACCGCGCCTGTCCTTGCCGCCGCTCTTGTCCTTACCTTTGCCGTTTCCTGGCTCTCGTGGTGGCAGTTGGCGGCCGTTCACGTCGGTGCGGCCATAGCAATCGGCCCTCCTATGGCCCCACCGCCAGCATCGATCGCAGTACCCTTGGAACTGCTGCTGGGCAGAACCCCTGCCACCACCAGCGGGACCCGAAGTCGGTTTCCCGCTGGCTTGGCCGTCCTTTCCTTTGCCTTTGGAGTCCTTACCCTTACCTTTGCCTTTACCTCCTTTGGGGTCTTTGCCGCCGCGTGCCAGGGATCCGATGTCCATCGGAGCCGGGCCAGTCCTGGCCTGCACCTGCTCGATGCACCGCTCGACCTCGGTCTTCAGGGACGCGTACGTGTCCAAGCGGGTGATGTGCATGTCGATGTGGTCGCTGAGCGTGTTCGGGCACATGCTCTGCAAGCACGCCTTCCTCATGGAGTCCGTCAGCTCCTCGCCCGTCCGTTCCTTGTAGTGCATGTAGTCGTGCTCCCACTGCTCAATCGCACTGAGCAGCTGGTCTATCCCGACCTGCGCCGGCCGCAGGATCTTCCTCAGCAGCCTGAGGTTTGCCACGGGATTGTTCGGGTCGAACTTCCGAACAAGCCGGCGCCAAGCATCTAGGCCGCAGCTCTTCTTGGTATTCTTCACGATGTCAAATGCTGCTGTGCCCATCGTGGTCAAGCTGACCAAGATCGCACGCAGCTGAGCATTAAGCTCAGGCGTCCGCGGATGCTCGTCCACGATGTCCTGCACCCTCTCCGCCGCGATGGTTTCGCTGCCGAGGCCGGCGGCCCACTCGAGGATCTCCTCGGCGTCGCTGAACTGGCCGTTGAGCCAAGTGGTGAACTTGAAGCTCCAACCCTGCCAATCGGACTCCTTGCCGGTGAATGCCACCGGCTTGCCCACCGCCTTCGTGTCGATGAGCCCCTCCTTGCGGCGCTCCTTCGACTCGCCCTCGAGGAACACCTTGTTCTGCTCCAGCGATACCTGGAGCGCACGTCCCTGCTCCGCCACTTTGGGCGGCCACCGCTGCCAGCGCGTCGTCCGAGCGCTGCTGCTGTTGCTGCGCCGCCAACTGCTGCTGGCGCAACGTCTCGCCTAGCTGGTTGAACGCGTTCAGCACCTGCTGCTCGTTCATCTCCTATGCCGAAGGTCCGAGGCTCGATCTCGAAGCCTCGGCCTCCACCAGCTCCCACGTGCTTGAGCCGCGCGCGCGCGCGGGGGGAGCTGGAGCTGGGCCGTGGAAGGCTGACCCAGCTCCGCTACCATGAATAATCTTTTTGGACCACTTCAATGGCTATGGAACGTGCTATGCAACACACTGGCAGCAAATAGGGGCAACAGTGCTGGGTCCCACTTGGTGGGACCCAAGACCTTGCAGCAGAATTGTGTTACATCTGCATTGTCTGCATTGGGCTCTCGGGAGGTCCATTTCTGTTCAGGCAGGGGGAAGAAGGCCAGAGAGCGCCGAAAGATACAAATACTGGAACCCTCATGGGATTTTTTGGGGGGCCTCGTCCGGCCGCTCGCTGGGAGTTTGACGTAGCTTCTCGGGAGCCTCTGAACCTGTCGGGGGCCTCTTGGAAACAGGTTCGAAGCATTTTGGGGGCCGATTTGGGGCTTCTCGGGGCCTCCTTTGGGCCTCTTGGGGGTCTCCTGGGGCCTCTTGAGGGGCCTCCTTGGGGCCTCCTGGCGGCCTCTTGGGGCGGAAGGCTCGAGCTTGCGGTTCGTGGTCCCCCTCTGGGCCCCCTCTTGGGCCCGTCTTGGGGCCCTCTTGGGCCATCTTGGGCGCCTCTTGGGCCGTCTTGGGGCCCTCTTGGGCTGTCCTGGGGCCCTCTTGGAAGCTTCTTGGGCCGTCTTGGGGCGGTCTTGGGCGCCTCTTGGGCCGTCCTGTAACGTCGGAAAGCCCAAAAGCAACTTTGTTGAAAATGTACGTTTTACGAAGGGAATGGGCCAATTTTTGCGTCTAGGGGCCCTCTTGGGACGCATGTTGGAGGCTTCTTGGGGCCTCTTGGGGGCGTCCTTGGACGTCTGGAGGCCATCTTCAGCATCTCGGAGCCCTCTTGGAGGCCTCTTGGAAGTTTCTTGGGCCGTCTTGGGCGCTTCTGGGGCCCTCTTGTCTGACCAGGGAGGCCTCCGGCAAGCCCCGACGAGCCTCCGGGCCCCCCGGAGCCCACATTTGCGGTCGAGGTCCCGGCCCCGGGCCCCCGGACCCGGTGCGCCGATATATGTATAGACCAACGCCCGAGCTGCGAGCGGCTCCCGAATCAACACAGCGAAACTCGAGCCTCGCAGGATCCTGCCGGACCCGGTGCCCTGAATGAGGCCCACCTGTGCTGAGCTCCTTGACCTGCCCGCTGATCAGGGAAACTGGCCCTGGATCCTAAGGCTTGCCCCAAGACCAACCTCCCATCCCGAGCCCCCTTCCCTCTGGACCGCTCTGGCTCCCAGACCTCTGGAGTCTTGACACTCATCAAGACAAACTTCCCGGATCTCTGGACCGCTTCCTGGAGACAGGTTTTTCGTCCCGGACCGTTTCTTTGGCTTGCGGCTCACGCCTTCTCGGGTGACAGGCATCTCCTGGGGCGAGCCCTGACCAAAAATTCGGGGCGAACCCAATCGTGGCGAAGAGGGAAGAAAAACCGGCATTGGCATCCCCGCCGACATGATTGTTTCAGTTCGTGGCCCCAGAATCCCGCCCTCTTCTCCGAGGTGCTTTTTCGTCGCAGGTTCATTCGTGATTGTCCTTCCCCCTCATGCTTCCAAATCTTCTGCCCTAACCTTCCGCCTAATTTTCGATATGATCAATAAGGGCTCCCTTGAATTGCGCGAGGTTTCCATGAATTTCGATGAAGTCTTCCGCAATTTCCGCGGAGATCGGAAGGTATGGAAGGTGGAAGGGGAGGGCTCCCCAATGTAATATTTCGCCCCAGATCCATCCTTCATTATCCCTGGGCCCGCAAAGGGCCCGCGAGCACTGAAATCTGAAAAAAAACAAACAAAAAATCGGCGGCTGTCCGAAACAGACACATAGACGGAGATCTGGGTCATCTCCTCCTCCGACTTCTGCGCCAACTCGGGCTCCCATGTCATCTTGCTGGTTCCTGCGAATTGACGCTAACCGACGCTGCTCGACACTAGTCGATTCTGATCGACGCTGAATCGACATGAATCGACGCTATATCGGAGCGCTCTCATCGGCTACCAAGAGCCAGCGCACGCTCAAAAACGGAATGTCGATGACCAAACCATCTCACTTCCCCCCTCGGCGCGCCGCCGAAGAAGCTCGAACCATTTTTTTATTGCGTGAGGCACAAACTGTGTCGCTGGCATGCTCAAGCCTGACGGCGTACAGTTTGATCAGAAGGCGCAATTCCATTGGAAAACAGATCGAGCAGACAAAATGAGTCCAAACTCTAATCGGATTCCTTGGTGAGCAGGGATCATCAGATCCTGGTGACGCGCCTGGCGCTGCGGTGCAAACAAGCCCCAACTGCCAGGAACATCAAAACAGTACCACACAACGAGCCGTGAGACACGTGCTGCTGGCACGACGCCCTGGCATGGTCTTCACGCCGAGGGTGGCCAGAAATGAAACGTAACAGATTGGTAAAACGCGTGCGATCGGCAAAGTCCGATGCGCTTGCCCTGCGCCAATGATCGAGGCTCTGCGGGCGCGGGGCTGTTATGAACGCCCCTGGCGCAAGCTGTCGTGCCTGAGCGCCACATCGCTCCTGGACTCGGTCGTGCAGAAAACCTCCCTCCGCTCGGGAATGCAATGATCACTGCACCGCGAAGCGTCACGACGTTGGGTGTAAACAGGACGTATCTGAAATACATGCACGTATGCATCACTAGGGGCACATGTTGGAGCGAGCCGCGCAACAGCCCGGAACACTCACGAGCACACACGCTGGCACTCATGGGATGGTTGGCGTTACCTCGTGCACAGTGAACTTGACACCGAAGAAGCTCGAATCATGATGCCCGTATGTGTAGATATACATTCACGTACATCATGATCATACAACATTGACCAAACAATAACATAAAACAACAAAACATCCACGGACAAACAAACAAACAGCAAACACTTTGAAAATGATACAACATACTGGCAATCACAAGCACATACACGGACAAACAGACAAACAGACAAACAGACAAAGACAAGCACCGACTGGCGAAACAGCAAGCAAATACCTACATCATTATAATAAACCCCGGCATCCCTGGGCGGCACGTCACCCAACCTCGCGCCTCTGGGCCCCACCCGGACGGCGTCTGGGCCGGCTTCTCGGAGCTGCGCCCGGCCGTGGCCGCGCTGAGCATCCCCCCCCTCTAGAGGCCTCCTTTATGGAGTCCGAGCAGATGGGGTCGGAGGATGGCGCCGCATCGCCGATGCATCGGCCATGTCGGCGACGCAGCAGCGACGTCGGCGTGGAGAAAATCGGGCCCCACACCGAGCCGCGTCGCCGATGCATCGGCGATGCGGCGCGATCCTCCGACTCCATCGACTCCTTCGGTAGTCGTCGGCCCCTGGGGCCCTCGCCGTGCCCTGGGGCCGCCACAGCTACTCGGAGGAGGAGCCGGCCCCAGGGAAAGGGCCGCGTACGGACAAAAGCTGACAGGGGCAGCCGGTCCGGAGACGGTGGCAGGGGCAGGAGGGGGCGGCGGCCCGAGGGGGCAAGGCGAAGGAAGGGAGGCTGATCCTAGCGTCTGCCTAGGGTTGCTTCGGGGTGACGGTGACCATTGGCTGGGGATGTGACTGCGCGGATGCTGGCAAAATGTTGACATGAATTGGGCACGGGGCAGGGCCTGTCACCTCCGCCTCAGCGTGCCTGGTGCCCATTGCCTGAGAGCGTGACTGCACGGATGCTGGCAAAACGTTGTCATGCGAGGGGCACGGGGCAGGGCCTGTCGTCTCCGCCTCAGCGTGCCTGATGACCATTGCCTGAGTCTCAGATCATTCTGCGGGAGTCTAGATCATTCTGCGGGAGTCTAGATCATTCTGCGGACTGCACGGATGCTGGCAAAACGTTGTCATGCGAGGGGCACGGGGCAGGGCCTGTCGTCTCCGCCTCAGCGTGCCTGATGACCATTGCCTGAGAGCGTGACTGCACGGATGCTGGCAAAACGTTGTCATGAGAGGGGCACGGGGCAGGGCCTATCACCTCCGCCTCAGCGTGCCTGAGAGAATCGTCAGGTTCGAAAAAGAAACGTGCGCAGGCCTGAACATCAAAGTGCAGTTTTCCACCTGCCAATATGGAGTGCCCCCTGCGTGTCAATTGGAAGCGGACGAGGGGCTGGGCATTCTGTACTGCAGCCTAGCCCGCTCGACATGTGAGACTCGATCTCCTACGTGTGAAAAGACCGTCGGCAGGGATGCGTACGCACAATCCCGTCGCTTATTTCCTCGGAAACCTACGCCTCCAGTCACCTACCACCTCATGGGGCACGGGGAGGAGGACGACACAAAAGCCTAGAAGAACATGTCAACATCCGTTGGGCTTTCTCGCTTCCTGTTGCTGCCATTCGCTCTAAATTCGGAAACACACTCGGATCCGTCGTCGCAAGGAAGGAGAGCGAGAGAGGAGGAGGAGGAGGAGGAGGAGGAAGAGGAGGAGGAGGAGGAGGAGGAGGAGGAGGAGGAGGAGGAGGAGGAGGAGGAGGAGGAGAGAGGGGAAGGGGAAGGGGGGGACGGACGGAAAGAGGAAAAAGGAGGAGGAAGGGAAGGCGGGATAGAGGAGGAGGAGGAGGAGGAGGAGGAGGAGGAAAAGGAGGAGGAAAAGGAGGAGAAGGAGGAGGAGGAGAGGCAGAAGGGGAGGGGGAGGGGAGAGGGAGGAGGAGGAGGAACAGGAGGAGGAGGCGGAGGAGGAGGAGGAAGAGAAGGACCAGTGTACACCCAAGGCTCGTCAACGATGTTGCAATGTACCCCACCCGTTTCCTCTTCATGGGCTCCTCAATAGATCCATTCTCGCTAAGGGAAAAATCCCATTGGAAAACAAACGTGTGGAAATCTTGAACCGTGCCAAAAGTCCTGGGACGGCAGCGCTACGAATGATCGTCTCGGAACACAGCTTCTGGGACGTCGATACTGAGAGTCAACGTGACTGTCCCGCTGTGACAATCACAAACCGTGCCAACATTCCATGTCTGGGACGCAAGCCATGAGAATCCTTGGAAGTCCTGCAAACGTTTAAAGCTAATGCGTGCCGCGTTAAGGCGAGAACCACATTGTGAAGACGAGCCACCCTCCACACGAATAACTATTGCAACCTTTTGGAACACATGTACGCGGCGCTAGACCGACCACATTAGACCGAGCGGATCCCGGAGCCAAGGGGGGCTATTTGGGTTGCTAGGGGAACAAAAAGTGGCATAAACATAAAAACTCGGAGGTCCGCACGGATTTCTCGGATCGGCGCTGGGGCCCCCGGCGGCGCCTCCGGCGCCGCCCCTGGCGCGCTCCGCGCGCCAGGGAGGGAGGTCCAGCGCCGTTCCGAGAAATCCGCGCGGACCTCCGAGTTTTTATGTTTATGCCACTTTTTGTTCCCCTAGTTGCGGCGGGGGGGAGTTTGGGAAAGGTGGGCCACCCCGGGGCCACCCCACGTCCCCTCCCCCGTGGGCGGTCCCGTCGTCTTCGTCCGTCACCCCGGCTGTAGAGAGGGTAGGGCCAGGACATTGACGGGGCCCTGGGACACACAAATAAATACACACAAATCAAAAGATTCCCCATATTTTCTTGTATTTTCTCGGTTTTTGTCTTCCCGCCCAATTCTCATATTTTCCAATATTTTCTTGGGGGCCGACGATTAATTGTGTCTGCGTGTTTTTTTTCCTCCTGAGACATCTGGGAGACATCGTGGCCCCGGCCGTGATACCCACACACCCCTGGCGTCTCCTTCCCTGTCGCCTCCTGGATGCTTCCGATGGGCAACTTATGTTTCACGGCGGCATGGAAGCAGATATAGGGAACCGAGCTCTATACACCAACGCTTGTTCCAGCCCTGCGCCGAAACTCTCACAAGACAGCGGATCCTGGCGTATATGGGGTCCTGGTGTATACATTCTTCGTTGTTTCCCTGGGGATACGGGGAACAAGTATACACCACACCACCCCGACGTCGTCCCCGACCCTCAAAAAGTCCTGGGATTGAAAGAGAGCCCGCCACTAGTAATGTATATGTTCCAGTTTCCGATAACGTGATATCGCGTTATCATATGCGTTGATGGCTACCACGTGTGAGGAGTCGTGGCGCACCCCGTGCGCAGCACCGCAGCCGATGGGCAGCTTCATGCCCCGCATCCAGGGACCCATTTTTGCTTGCTACGGGGCCCGACAACAGGGCCAGGGGGGCCTCAATCGAGGAAGAGCCCCCAGATTTGGGACATCGGGCCGAAATCAAGATCTAAGAACATCGGATCGAACCAAAGCGAGCCGCCGAGATCCCCCCCGCACCAAAAAAAAAGACGCCCCGCCGGAAATCTGAGGCCCTTGCCGCGGAGCTGGCCTCCTCGGCGAGCCTTCGCTGCCGCTGGCCGCGTCGGGGGCCGCGCAGGGGGTCCAAACCAGGGCTAGGATCGGGATAAATCGCTCCAGAGCGTTCCGGAGCGCTCTCAGAGCGTCCCGGAACGCTCTGGAGCGGCCGCGGCGCCCAATACATCCTCCAAACCCGCCGATTCTCAGAGATTTCGAGTTATCCCGATCCGATTTTGTCCCGATCTTCGCGTCGTTTTAGGGGTCCTGCAGGGGCCGGCGAGGGAGCTGCCGCAGCTCCCGGCTTGCTGCGCGGGGGCCGAGCGCGGCGAACGGCCGGCAGGAAAAAAATGCGGCCGGGAACTCTGGCTCCGCGTGCCGCGGCGGCCCCGGCGACACGCCATGCCCTGCAGGCGGAAAAAGCGTGCCGCTGGCTGCCGCGGGCCGGGAGGATCGGAAAGGCTCGTGACGCTGACGCATGGGGACTGGGATTGACGAACGAACAACACACACCCATACCCATAAGGGGGTCGTTGGGAGGAGGACTGGCTGTGGGTATGGGTGCGGGTTGTCGGACCCTAGGGAACTCTCCCGTTCGAGCGGGGACCCCCATCCGACAACACGCACCCATAGCCCTTTCCGACCCCCCTATGGGTATGGGTGTGTGTTGTTGGTTCATCATGGGATGTGGACACTGCCTCGCGCTGCGGCGTGGTGGGCCAGAACCAGCGGAGCGGCCCGCCAAGCCAGAGCTCCTGACCACATAAAGATGTTACGGGGTTCCATTGCTTCTTGTCTGCGCTCTGGTGGGGCCTCCCTGGAGGGGTGGGAGGGGCACGAAACCTGATGAATAATATGGTGTGCGAATACCCTGCCCGCTCTGGTGGGGCCTCCCTGGAGGGGTGGGAGGGGCACGAAACCTGATAAATAACATGGTGTACGGATACCCTGCCCGCTCAGGTGGGGCCTCCCTGGAGGGGTGGGAGGGGCACGAAACCTGATGAATAATATGGTGTGCGAATACCCTGCCCGCTCTGGTGGGGCCTCCCTGGAGGGGTGGGAGGGGCACGAAACCTGATAAATAATATGGTGTACGGATACCCTGCCCGCTCTGGTGGGGCCTCCCTGGAGGGGTGGGAGGGGCACGACACCTGATAAATAACATGGTGTGCGAATACCCTGCCCGCTCTGGTGGGGCCTCCCTGGAGGGGCGGGAACGGCACGAAACCTAATGATAAAATATGGCGTGCGAATACCCTGCCCGCTCTGGCGGGGCCTCCCTGGAGTGGCGGGAGGGGCACGAAACCTGATAAATAATATGGTGTGCGAATGCCCTGCCCGCTCTGGTGGGGCCTCCCTGGAGGGGTGGGAGGGGCATGAAACCTGATAAATCATATGGTGTGCGAATACCCTGCCCGCTCTGGCGGGGCCTCCCTGGAATGTTGGGAGGGGCGCGAAACCTGATAAATAACATGGTGTGCGGATACCCTGCCCGCTCTGGTGGGGCCTCCCTGGAGGGGTGGGAGGGGCACGAAACCTGATAAATAACATGGTGTGCGAATACCCTGCCCGCTCTGGTGGGGCCTCCCTGGAGGGGTGGGAGGGGCACGAAACCTGATAAATAACATGGTGTGCGAATACCCTGCTCGCTCAGGCGGGGCCTCCCTGGAGGGGTGGGAGGGGCACGAAACCTGATAAATAACATGGTGTGCGAATACCTTGCTTGCTCAGGCTGGGCCTCCCTGGAGGGGTGGGAGAGGCACGAAAACTTATAAATAACATGGTGTGCGAATACCCTGCTCGCTCAGGCGGGGCCTCCCTGGAGGGGTGGGATGGGCAGGATACCTGATAAATAACATGGTGTGCGAACACCCTTCCCGCTCTGGTGGGGCCTCCCTGGAGGGGTGGGAGGGGCACGAAACCTGATAAATAGCATGGTGTGCGAATACCCTGCTCGCTCAGGCGGGGCCTCCCTGGAGGGATGGGTGGGGCAGGAAACCTGATAAATATCATGGTGTGCGAATACCCTGCTCGCTCAGGCGGGGCCTCCCTGGAGGGGTGGGAGGGGCACGAAACCTGATAAATAACATGGTGTGCGAATACCCTGCTCGCTCAGGCGGGGGTCCCCCACGAACCTGGGGTGGAAGGGGCACGAAACCTGCTAAATAACATGGTGTGCGAATACCCTGCTCGCTCAGGCGGGGCCCCTCTGGAGGGGTGGGAGGGGCACGAAACCTGATACATAACATGGTGTGCGAATACCCTGCCCGCTCAGGCGGGTCCTCCCTGGAGGGGTGGGAGGGGCACGAAACCTGATAAATAACATAGTGTGCGAATACCCTGCTCGCTCAGGCGGGGCCTCCCTGGAGGGGTGGGAGGGGCACGAAACCTGAAAAATAACATGGTGTGCGAATACCCTGCTCGCTCAGGCGGGGCCTCCCTGGAGGGGTGGGAGGGGCACGAAACCATGTAAATAGTAGGGTATTCCGATACCCTCCTCGCTCAGGCGGGGCCTCCCGGGAGGGGTGGGAGGGGCACGAAACCATGTACATAGTATGGTATTCCGATACCCTCCTCGCTCAGGCGGGGCCTCCCTGGAGGGGTGGGAGGGGCACGAAACTTGATACATGACACTGTTTTCGAATAGCGTCCTCGCTCAGGCGGGGCCTCCCTGGAGGGGTGGGAGTGGCACGAAACCTGATAAATTATACTGTTTTCGAATAGCGTCCTCGCTCAGGCGGGGCCTCCCTGGAGGGGTTGCAGGGGAACGGGACCTGATAAATAACACTGCGAAACCTGATAAATAACTGGTCTTGTCGAATACCTGCCGCTCAGGCGGGGGCCCCCTGGAGGGGTGGGAGGGGCACGAAAACCTGATTAAATAACATGGTGTGCGAATACCATGCTCGCTCCAGGCGGGGGCCCCTCTGAGGGGGTGCGAGGGGCACGAACCTAATAAATACATGGGAGTGCGAATACCCGTCGCCGCTCAGGAGGGTCCTCCATGGGGGGTGGGAGGGGCACGAAACCTGATAAATAACATTGTGTGCGAATGCCCTGCTCGCTCAGGCGGGGCCTCCCTGGAGGGGT